GAAAGAGAGTCTGACTGCCGTACCAAGAGTGGGCTATTGCTATTACGCGCTATCTCTGAGTGGCCAGCAGAGGGGGCAACTAATTCAGACGGAAGCCATCGGAAGCCTGTGGATTCTCTCTGGTATGGAAGTGATAGACTGCTTAATGTTCAAGGGATTTAGAAACTGATAGAAAAGATGTAAGACAAGACTTAGATGTAGAACACAAGGCAAATTTTAGGGGAAGCAAAGTGAATCAGGACAAAATGGCTTGGCCGAGACGGAATGGGGAGAGCACGGGGAAGGTGTGCGCACGCGTGTGGAGGGCGGCTGTGTTCATTACGGTAAAGAGCGCATGGATGATGCAAACTGAAAAATCAGGGGACTGGAGAGATGCCTCGGTAGACAAAGGAGCCTGCCTGACCGCCTGGGTTCAACTTCCAGGTCCCACATGCTGGAGGGAGAGAGCGAGCCCAGCAGGTTGTCCTCTGACCTCTGCGTGATGAATATATGTGCGTGCATGTGTGTGTGTGTGTGTGTGTGTGTGTGTATACACATCACATATAAATGTTTGAAAAGCTGAAAATTAAGAAGTAGCTACAGAAACCAGAGGAAATTCCCCCGGAACCCACTGAGTGTCGAAAGCATTGTCAGGGAGAACACTTATTTTTATTTTTTTTAAAGATTTATTTATTTATCATGTATACAGTGTTCTCCCTGCATGTATACCTGCAAGCCAGAAGAGGGCACCAGACCTCATTACAGATGGTTGTGAGCCACCATGTGGTTGCTGGGATTGAACTCAGGACCTCTGGAAGAGCAGTCAGTGCTCTTAACCTCTGAGCCATCTCTCCAGCCCACTTATTTTTATTTTTGATCACAGATTATGGACTCATTTTATTTCTCTGACAATTAAGACATAACAGCAGAAGAAAAGGTACATAGCACTAAACTATAAACAACAGAAGACTGTTTTACATAAAGAAGAGGACCCTGAGCTGCGACAGGAGGCAAGGGAGAGTAGCTGAAGGAATTCACAAAAGCCAAGTTGCAGGGTGTGGATGACAGTCAGGGAGGGTGTACTTAGCCTATGCAGAGCCAAGCTTTGATTCCCTGGGGCTAAAAGGGAAAAGGCTGACACTGTCGGGTACCTGGTACTTTCATCTGGATCCACCATGAGAGAGGGAGGGGAGGGACAGTGGCTTCTTGGCTTCTAGTAGTGTTAAATACATTGTCTAGGTCAGCCATCCTGGCACATGCTTGAAATCTCAGCACTTGGGAGGCAGAGGCGGGCAGATCTCTGAGTTTGAGGCCAGCCTGGTCTACAGAATGAGTTCCAGGGCAGCAAGGGCTACACAGAGAAACTGTCTTTAAAACAAAACAACCAAACAAAAGCTACTACCACCACCACCAAACAGACAGAAAGAAAAAAAAAAAAAAAGAGGAGATCAAAAACGAAAACCTCAGGCAGCAGATAGTCTTGAGATAAAGCACATTGGTTTAAAGGTGGTTGAGAAAAAAAAAATCATGACAGAGACTTACTCCATGCTTCCTGGAAACAAATGATATTGACCCCACACATGGCAGCCACCTCCACAATAGCCTCTATACGTTTGTGGAGAGCAGAGACCTGGCAAGTCAAATAGCAAGGATTAGAATATAGCCAGTGCTATTGTTGAAGCAAAAGACTTTACCCAGGTGCAGCTAGAACAGCAAAATTCCCCCATGTGACCCCCAGAGAAGAAGAAAGAAGGGGGTGGGAGTTTTAGTGTCTTTTATTTTCATCAGACCAAAACCTACAAGGTAGATGGAATGAAAGCACCTCTAGACTCCCCCAGATATGGACTCGGCCCCTCTCCACCCTTCATCTCTCTATACCATCATCCCCTATCCCACCTTACCCCCTTGTGATGGAGAATCAGCATCTTTCTCACGGTGTTGCTGAACAATGTGAATGAGTATGGCTGTAACTTCCAGTACACAGAGCAGGGGTGTGTCCATGTACAGGGACACCTACACACACACACACACACACACACACACACACACACACCCTGGAATTCAAGCAACCTGAGGTTTCCTGCAGAATACTTAAGAATTATCAGAGTGGGGGGCTGAAGAGATGGCTCAGTGGTTAAGAGCACTGACTGCTCTTCCAGAGGTCCTGAGTTCAATTCCCAGCAACCATATGGTGGCTCACAATCATCTATAATGAGACCTGGCGCCCCCTTCTGGCTTGCGGGTACATATGGAAGGAATGCTGTACACATAATAAATAAATAAATAAATAAATATTAAAAAAAAGAATTATCAAAGTGTCTGGAGATTACCACGATAGACAAAGCCAAAGTTCCAGCAAAACCTTCTCTTTTTGATACAGCTATGACAAGCTGTATAAATAAACCACTGGCATCTGTGACATGATATTTTAGAGGACTGTAAAATAGTACCATAACCATAAAGGAATGTCTATCATACTTTCATAACCTGTGGGACTTTGGGTAAACAGACATCTAGGCATAGTGAGCTCCTGGCTTTATGATAAGCAGGAAAAGACGCAGGTATGACCAGTCAGTGTGTCCTGGCAAAGGCGGCCTTGGGAAAGCAAGCATGCTGGGGAGCCAGCTCGAGCTCCAGAGGGGCACTTTCCCAGTTGGCGAGAGAAAGGAATTTCAGGTCAGGGGTGGTAGAAGTGGCCAAGGGTGATGGAGATGAGGAGGAGTGAGGAGGAGTGAGGAGGAGTGAGGAGGAGTGAGGAGGGAGGAGGAGTGAGGAGGAGTGGGGGGGAGCGAGGAGGAGCGAGGAGGAGCGAGGAGGAGCGAGGAGGAGCGAGGAGGAGCGAGGAGGAGCGAGGAGGAGCGAGGAGGAGCGAGGAGGAGTGAGGAGGAGAGGAGAGGAGGAAGAACAAGAAGAGAAGAGCTAGGCACAAGATGGGAAGGAAGGAAGAAGAGGCAGAGAGAGGTGACTCAGATGCCCTTCCGGTGCTCTAGCTATGGAACCCCAGGACAGCCTGCCGGTGACTGCACCATGGGACAAGCCAGAGCCAGAGCCCCCCTTATATGTACATTGTTAAAACAAAGACCGCACCTGTTCTGCCACAGGGGCAGATGTGGGGAGTGGGATCCTGTTCTGAACGAGCCCCACACGCACGATCTGGGGGCATCTCTGCTGCTCCTTGGCTGCCCCGAAGGCGTATCCCTTCAGTTCAAAGTTTCTTTCTGAGGCAGTTTCTAAAGCTTTTCTGGGCAGATCAAGATTTCTGAAAAGGCAGGAGAGAAGAGAGAGAGGATTTTGAAGTGTCTGATATATTACTCCCCTACCCCGACCCCTGGGGGATCAGATGTAGAGTGTGGGCTTAGCATGTGTGAAGCCCTGAGTCAGATCCAGCACTGACAAAAACCCAGGCCCACCCCACCACCCCTCTGTAGTTGCTTCTCAGATAAAGAAGAGCTGTGGAGTGTCTCTTTTGGAAAGCCTTCAACAGGGCCAAGAGACCTGTGGAATGGTCAGGCTGGGATATGAATGAACACTGCTACCCTGTTGTGAACTGGGGGACCTAGCATGCAGGAGGCCTGGCAAAGGGAGGAAGTGCTATCCATCAACAGGCTGGTGTTTGGAACTACAGAGGATCAGGGCAAAGAAGACAGCCCCAGCGGCCAACCCAGATAGGAAGGAATTGGCTCAAAAAAAAAAAAAAAAAAAAAAAAAAAAAAAAAAGCGTTTGAACCAGGATCAGAGGGCTGTGTGGATCCTAGGGTTTGGGCCATCTGTGCTACCAGAGAGGGGCGATGGGGCTCAGGAGGAAGGCTGGATGGAGGCCAGGAACTGCTAAAGGAAAGAGAGGCCCTGCACTCATTGGCCCTCGGGAAGCTGAGTTTCAGGAAGTCAGCCTGGAGCCTTGTTCTCTGACACTCCTTCAGCTAGTTCCATGCCTGGTATGGGTAGGTGCTGGGTGGGTGCTGGGTGGGTGCTGGCTTGATGGGGTGCAAGTGTAAATGTTTACCCAAATTTGTGGTTCATCATCAGCCGCTAGAGGACTATTTCCCTTCTACCACAGAGACCACAGGTCAGGCAGCAGCTACCTCCTGGGGCCTGCTGCATGCCCAGGCCTGGGGTAAAACCCCAGGGGCACAGTTCATGGCCCAGGGCCAGGTAGACCTTACCATCTAAAGGCAAAACGATTATGAAATACCAAGAACACATCAAAAAATAACCTGACAGGCATTACCTAATAATAATATTTCTCTCCTACTTGAAGCTGCTCTCTTAAAGACATTTCTTTCAAAATCACAGCCCTGTCAGCCCAAGCCCCTTGTCTCCACCCCCTGCCAGGAGCTCTCCCTGACAGCTGTGAGCTGGGCTCCGCCCCTGACAATCAGCCTGCTTTTCAAACAGGCAAGGCTCCCTTTCCTCTGCAGGTTAGAAATAGCTCTGGTGCCCACACCTGGCCTCCCCTCACTGTGACTGCCTCACAGAGTCCTCCCACCCTCAGGTGGAGGGGCCCCTCTTGTGGATCTCAGACCCTGGGAATGGTGGAAATAGCCCCACAGCTTCCCGGGAGCTACACGCTGAGAACATGCGGACACCCGTGTCACAGGGTGTGTGCTGGTTTCCCAAAGGCTATGGGCTCAGGGGCCAGGCTGCCCTTCCAGAGCGTCCTATGGACTCAGTCCAGGAAGATGGCAGGTGCAGCAAGCCCAGCTTGCGGGTGGACGTCTCTCTCTACCTCACCCCTCAGCGTCCGCCTTCTGAGCACCGCTGTCCTGCTGTGCTAATCTCACCTTCTGTCCTGAGTTCCCTGTGAGTCCATTGCTGTCCCCACCTCTGCCTTCCTGAGACTGTGCACTGGGTCATTCCCAGCTCCCTTCCCGCAGACAGTCATTCCCTTGGTCCTGAGGGGAGGGCAGGCCAGGCTGCTCCATCCTGCAGATCAGCTGCCTTTTTGGCAGGTTCTGCATCTTGATGACCCCTTCAATTTTTCTGGTTACCATCTGGAGGCTCTCTCCTCCATCCTGCTCTTCAGAGCTAGACCCCCCTCCCCCCTCCTACCCAGCACTTGCATTCAAGAATTTCAAGCCTCTAAGGGCAAGGGCTTGACTTGGAGGGGTCTGTGGGACACTGTGTGGACACTGTGAACAACTGAAATCGTGTCCCTACCGTCATTTGAAATACTGAAACCCTAGCCTCTTGGAGGGCCTAGAATACGACGAGGCGATTAAAGCAGATCCCCTACAAATGGCATTAACACTGCCATTAAAGTCCAGGGTAATATGGCTTGCTTCTTCTTTTTTTTTTTTTTTTTAAATGCAACATACAAACTTTATTTAACAAAGTAACAGATAAAGTAAAACAGGCACTACTTATATTAAGAAAAAAACTACAAGAAAATTTATCTTTAACAACTTAAAATAACCTACTTGCAGTTGCATTTAACTGAGCTCTGTTGCTGTGAAGAATACAGCTCATGCGCAGGTATGGATGAGAGATTTGTACATTTTCAAGTATTCACTGAATACTACCCTTATATACACATATACATTTAATTTCAAAAAGATTAGGTGATCCCAGCTGTACTTCATTTTTGTTGTTCTTTTGGAAGAGGTCGTCTAAAGAGAAGAATATGCGGTTCTGGCTCATGGATCATGTAATGCACCCAACCAAGACTCTGTTGGACACCAAGTCTCCTCCACTCCTCTTCAGACATCAGGTGAGTTTTTGGTACTTGTTTGGAGAGTTCTCTAGGTAACATGACATGCCGGTACTCGTAGTGCTTGTCGAAGTACTTGTCAGAATAGTAGATCTGCTTGTGGGCCATCCTGCCGGCGCGCGGAGAGGAGAAAGGGAGCCTATGGCTTGCTTCTTGACCACACATCCACAGAACAAGAAGTCACCATTTACAAATCCAGAAACGGGCCCTCTCCAGACTTTACACCTACCAATGAGTCTCCAGTGTTATGAGGCAATATATTTTCCTGAAAGAGCCACCCACTCAATGATGTCAAAGCTCAGGATAACTATGATGGGCTCTGATCAGCCATAGCCCGTGAAGGAATGGGACCCAGAAAATGAGTAAACCCCCAGTTTACTCGGGGGGTCTCAGGCTGCACACAGCTGTCTGTCCCCGTAGTTCAGTGGTCCTCAACCTTCCTAATGTGGCGACCCTTTAATATAGTTCATGATTGTGGTGACCTCCAGCCATAAAGTCATTTTGTTGCTACCTCCTAACTGTAATTGTGCTACTGTTATGAATCGTAATGTAAACATCTGATATGTGACCCCGAAGGGGTTGCGACCCACAGGTTGAGAACCACTTCTTGTTTTCCCTTCCTCTGCCTCTCTTGCTATGAAGAGCCTCAACTCCCCTCTCCTTACCCCCACTTCAAGGAAGAAGGCCTGTTAGTTCTCATTCTGGCTCCAACCCACACCCCTGGGTCCCTCTCTCCTTACTAGGGCCGAGGTAGACCTGCCTTCAGGGCCCTAGGCTTCTGCTTCCTTAGCAACCTCTCGCATTGGGAACTTCATCTCTCTTCCTGCGCTGGCTCTTCGCCGTTCGTTCTTTCAATTATTCAAGTAGAGCCTTGGCTCAGAGGAAACGTGTTTGCGGAGGGGGCAGATCGCAGCCCAGGGGGAAGAAAAGGAAAAATAAGTCTTCTCCAAGTGTTGGTTCCAAGCCTCAACGGCAGCCAGCGCTCTTAATCTTTGTGCATGCTTCCAGAGAGCTTCAGAAACGCCAGATGTACTGGCGGCCTTCTGCATTTTCGGCTCTTCATCTTGCCTGTTTCTCTTGGTAACACAGAGGCACGCGGGCATAATTTTTCTATCAGTGAGGGACTGCATGGATTACTTCAGCTCCCTGTGAATGTAGTGGACCCGAAAAAGTCCCATCACCTAGTGACATCTTAGTTGTCATGACATTATAATACATTATATTACTGGGTTTGTCGTGATCCCGATATCAGCACACACAGTAGAGCCAGTCTTAAAAAGCCCAGCATATACAGCTATGCATAGAACATCATACTTGATCATAATAACCAATAACTGTGTTACTGGTTTCCGTAAATGCTTCAGTTTTAAATTAGAATAGAAGACCATAACGGTTAATATAAAGCAGGACACTGTATTGCTCCAGCATAATATCTCATATTCATAATCCTTCCTGAAGGCATCAAGTGTCTATGGTAAAGGGCTACAGCTTAGGTCAGTGGTCCCTACTTATTTTGCTGGCTGCTTCTTATTATCTTGATGCAAAATCTAGACATATCTAGGAAGGGGAAATCTCTATTGATGGAGTGCCTCCATCAGATTAGCCTGTAGCAAATCTATGGGGGTAATTTCTTAATTAATGATTGATGTGGGAGGGCCCAGCTCACTATAGGTGGTGCCAATCTTAGGCATGTGGTCATAGGTTCTATAAGAAAGCAGGCTGAGCAGGCTGTGATGAGCAAGCCAGTAAGCAGCGCCTCTCCATGGTCTCTGCTTCAGTTCCTGCCTCCATGTTCCTGCCTTTAGTTCCTGTCCTGACCATCTAAGCACAGTTCCCAAGTTCCCAGCGATCCCTGTGAGACACACTGCCGTACAGCAAATGACCACTGACTTTTCCACCTGAGACCTCACTCATGCCTACAGGAGACTGAACACGTTCATATCTCTTTGTAATGTTTTTAGTAAATCTAGTTTTTCTACGGCATGCATTATTGGACACATACTTGGCTTTTAAAATTCACTGCCACATATGAAGAAACTGTATATTTTTCTAGTCAAAGTGATCAAGCAATTGAGTAAAGCCTCAATAATGTTGCATACTCCTTTTTTTTTTTTTCTTTTGGTGTTTTGAGACAGGGTTTCACTGTAGCTATCAAGCCTGTTCTGGACCTAGCTCTTGTAGACCAGGTTGGTCTCAAACTCACAGAGATCCACCTGCCTCTGCCTCCCGAGTGCTGGGATTAAAGGCGTGAGCCACCACCGCCTGGCACACCCTACCATTTTCACTGAGTAAGATTCCTTTTTTGATGACTTCTGGGGAACAGTGAGTCTGTTTGCTCCAACAGTTTCTATTCGCCAAACAGTCACGAGAGATGCTTTCCCACCGTTGCTACTGCACCCAGCGGATTCCACCAGGCAAGGCTGTTGGCAGTCTTCTTATGTGGTCCCTATCACGCTGACCAAAGAGTCCTGCGTTGGCTGCCAAGGCTTCATTTTGCTCAATATGATATTCCTGGAACCTCATGGATGCCCTTTGTGTCATTCTTTAATATTTCTGTAAGCTACATTCTGAACATCCAGGTTTCACATCTCCTGGGAAGTCTTTGATACAGACAAGAACGTGGGTTTCTGAACTTTCACATTCCCAAGAATTCCTAGCTTGCAAGAGATCCCGAGTTTGGGTCTCAGTGCCATCAAAAACAAACAAACAAACAACAAATAACACCCCATCAAGGGCAGAAACTGCACATTACCAATGGTCTTTTGATTGTCCTAGGCAGAAATAAGCGAGCGGCAAATGCTGAAGGGATTAGCGAACGCTCCTCGGTTCTGTTCTCTGAGGATCTCATCTGTTTGGTGTAGGCTTTCTCACTTGGCAAATATTTAATAAGCATTGTCAGTGTACTGGGCACAGCAACAAATCTGGAGATACTGCGTTGCAGGGAAGTAGCCGGGTACAAACCGGCCTCTGAAGAACGAACAAGGGTTTAAGTAGGAAGAGTTTTTGTGTATTTTAAAGATAGAGAAATCTTCTGTCTTCAGGTGGTAATCTGCTCACAGCCAAACCTCACCCAAGCGCAAGAACTGAGCATGCCCGTTCACACCTTAAGAGATAAAGTGTGAAAAGGCTGTCAGGGAAACAGAACCCAAGGGAAGAATGGAAAACGAGAGAAGGGCCTTGCTCAGTTGGTGGGAGTCAGGCCCCAGAGTTAGGGCCTGGCAGTCACAGGCTAGCCCTGGTTAGCATTTTAGCCTACTCTGTGGTTCTCCAAACGCTGATACAATCCCTCTCACTTGGTAGTCCATGGCCTGGCCTTCCCCTACCCAGGGTGTATACCAGTCACTTCTGGGGGAGACATGTCTGTCTTCATAATGCCCCTCAATTTTACCTCTGATGCTAACAGTGCCAATTCCATGGTTACTCACTTTACCCTTAAAGCAAAGCAATTGGGCCATCCCTAGAAATTGGGGTAGGATACTCCTTGTTTTGTTTAAAAACAACAACAACAACAACAAAAGCCTTCCCTGGAAGTCTGGATTCTGTACTTCTCATGTGGCTAATTTCCTGCTGTTGTATGGTTTTCTATGGGGCTGTAGAACGCCAGCTCTGATACGCCTGGAAGGCCACTGAACTACACTATCCATCCACATGACTGACTGGTCTTGCAAACACCGTAGGAAGTAGAGCATTTTGGGGGTCACCTAGCCCCTCATAGCTTATGGAGAGTTGTTCTTTGGTGGGGCGGGGAGGTTGGAGTTTTCTTTTTTTTCCCCCCAAAATGCCAAAGACATTGTTCTTCCACACACTTGCTGTGTTAGATTTCGTGGATGAGGCCTCCCTGCAAGGACTCTAAAGTTGCTGGGAACCACTTGATTTCATTAATTCTCTTTGGCTGATCAAGGTCCTACTACAAGGTCATGGGCCCTTGGAGAGGTCACGGAGCAAACAGGCTGGATTGAACACTCTGCTGTGAGCAATGGGGTGGAAAGAGATTTAGCAAGGTTCAGAGTCTACGTTTCATTCTAACAGCCGAGAAAACCCCGTACAGGGTACAGGGTTGAAGCCCAGGACAAGGACATAGTCCTCTTAAAGACAACTTTCTGGTTGCTCCAGAAAAACGGATTGAAAAGAACATCCAGGAGGGGGTCCTTTGCCCAGCTCCGTTTTACCAGACGCCAAATAGCACACTACTCTTAAAATAGAAGTCTGGGGACCCACTGCCAGATCGCCCATTGTGGGAAAATTTGTGCTGCCAATTCTCTTGGCTTGACAGTTCGGAAGCGTCTTAGCTAGCTTGGTTGAGCAAGCCTCCACCTCCAAGATGCTGGGCCACAGCAGGAAGGAGAGATCAGAGGACCCTAGTCGGAGGCTCTGGACAGAACCCCAGAGAGGAAGCTGGGAGTCGGGTCAGAGCTAGGAACTTACAGAAAGAACTTGAAGAGACAAATTCCCGTTCTTCCTATTTTGTTTTACACAAGGTGTGTGTCAGGTGGTGGCGGCAGTGGGGGGCCGAAAAGCGGTTTGTAGGGGTCACCCTCTAAGGGCTCTTTCCTCACAGTTCGGTCTATGGCCTCTGCCAGCCTACATGATTCCTCATCCCAGCCCCCACAGAGCCATTCTCAGCCCAGAAGCCCTCCCCAAGTCCACACATGGTGGCTACCATCCCACCCCCCGTACCACCCCCAAACTCAGCCTCTGGATCCCTGACCTAGTCTGCTTGCCATAGAGAATTCGCTTCACCTCGCCCAAATCATCAGGCGGCAGATGCTTCTCCAGGCACTGCTCCAGGGACTGCCACTCAGGTCCCGCCATGGCCAGAGGCTGCAGGTTCTCGTGTCCCACAGGAATAGAATGTTCTGCCTAGGGGCCCCAGGATTGGGAGGAGACAACCGTGGACTTCTGGCAGCTCTTCAACTGCAGTGTATTGGATTCTCAGCGAGGAGGAGGGCAGACAACACTCTTCTCACGCCTCTGCTGACAGCAGCCAATCCGTGCTCAGGATCTTCATAGTGAAACCGCCCCATTGGCTCACCATGGGGCGAGTGCCAGACTTGGCCAGACTTGCCTTCTGGTCCAGTGTGGGTCACAGCTGGAGGCTTTCCCTGGACGCTTTCCCTAGCCTGGCTGTCTCCTCTCTCCTCTCTCTTCCTTCTCTCTTGCTCTCCCTAGTCCCTGGAACTCACCCTCTCCTGCCCCAGGTATATGATAGGCGGTTATCGGGACCTGGGCTGAGGTCATTTGACTTGGGTCTTATCCCGCAGAACAGTACAGTTTCCTTTGAGCCACAGGTCCCAGGAGTCAGGCAATGCGAGGCTGGTATCCGGTACTTCCCTGGAGTCAGTGCTGCAGCATCCCGGATCCTGAGCACGGGACTCTCCTGTACTCCGATGCTGCTTCAGGATCTCTGCCTTCTGCAGTACGCGTGCCCTCGTGGGCGCTTTGCCAGCTGCATTAGACTTTTCTCCCAGGTGGTAGTGGTGAAGGTCCCTCCTGCTGTTCCCTGAAATGCTTACAAACCTCCTGTGAATTATGAAAGCCCGGCCAGCTTTGCTCCAGACCGAATGGTGAGGGAAGACCACCCTCACCATTAGCAAGACGCTAATTTAGTTCTGGGGCCTGGGCAGTTATCCTGTTAGCCGGGGTCATCTGTTGATTTATCTGTGAACCTGCAAGGCTGTGACCACTTCACAGCCTTGCTGGAGTTCAGCTCTGTGGGAGAGCACCCGCTGCCTCCTTGCTACAGGCCCTGGAGTGAGAGGGTGGGGCTTAAGATACTTGGTTTCCCACTGCTTTGATAGTATCTGATGGTTTCCAGTTTCTTCCTTTGCCAGAAACTCGGAGCTTTTGTGTGTGAGACTTCACAAAGTGTAAGACAAAGACAGGTACCGTGGTTTGATGGAGAGAGAGATAAAGACAGCTATCCGGTTCCACAGAGGCCCCACAGCTGCATGTTCAACCAACCTTGATCAAAAAAAAAAAAAAAAAAAAAAAAAGGCGTGGTGGCGCACGCCTTTAATCCCAGCACTCGGGAGGCAGAGGCAGGCGGATCTCTGTGAGTTCGAGGCCAGCCTGGTCTACAAGAGCTAGTTCCAGGACAGGAACCAAAAGCTACCGAGAAACCCTGTCTCGAAAAATCCAAAAAAAAAAAAAAAAAAAAAAAATTTCCTCCAAGTTGTACCCATTTTCAGGGCCGTTTTTCTTCACACCATTCCCTAAGTAATAGCCTTTCCATTGGGGTTAGTGTTAATCTTAGCCAGGGGTCCTATTGCTGTGATGAAACACCATGATCAAAAACAAGATGGGGAGGAAAGGGTTTATTTCACTCCTGGTTCCATAGACCAGTCCATTGTCAAGAGCGGTGAAGGCAGGACCTCACACAGGACAGGAGCCTGGAGGCAGGAGCTGATGCAGAGACCAGGGAAGGGAGCTGCTTACTGCTCTGCTCCTCAGGGCTTGCTCAGCCTGTTTTCTTATAGGACCACCTGCCCAGAGGTGGCACCGCCCATAGCGGGCACTCTCTTAAAAGTACACAGTGATTGCTCACAGTGAAGAACTGGGCATAGCATCCCTCAAGGTCAGCAGCCTTCTGTATCTTCAGGACCAGTAGTTAATGGGTTTTCTTCCAGCCTCACTTGCAAAGCTAAACTGTCTTGTTAACGTGAAATAACTGTCTAGAGCAATGACAGAAAATGCTCCTTATTTCCCACCTGAGGACTCTCAAATGTTCTTATCGCATTTCGGAATCGTCTGTCATTGCCCTACTCACTAATTGCTAGGGAATGGCTAGAAGTCTTTGTGTTTTGGATAGTGTAGAAACTTGATCGAGTCCAATAAGCAATAGCATCATGACGCATTGGGCTCGTTGGTAATGACAAAACCCGTAGCTGCCGCGGGAAAGGGACTGTGTTTGTGTTCAGAGAGTCAAGACTTTGAAGGGGAGGAGGGGCTGGTGGATGTGTTATCCAGAACACGCTACCTTGTCATCTGCACCTTCCATTCCTTTAGACATTTTTTGTAAGTGTAGCTTGTAGGAAACACTAGTGATGAAGATGACTCGCAGATGCAAATCAGGTCTGTCCGGTGGAGAGGCAATTGTCGATTGCGCTGAGTAGTTTCGCATTCACCTGTAAATTACTCTTTATGGTCTCAACGCCCTACTGTTTCTCTCATTGATGAGTCCATTTGCACGCAAAAGACAAGCTACTCAAGGCCATTCTATGTGACTGACGTGTTCATTACATACATATTTAATTGTTATCTCTAGAGCAGTGGTCCTCAACCTTCCTGATGCTATGACCTGCAGGCTGAGGACCACTGCTCCGTGGGGAACCTTCCAGGACCTGACAGATGCCTCCTTAGGGTACCTGACTGCCAGCTAACTGGGCCGGGTTTAAGCACAAACTCTTTCTAAAATGAATGACACCTGAAATAAATTAAAATATAAAAGGAAACCCTTAGAGAGGTCAAAGGAGGCTTTCCCAAGTTGGATAGGCATAGAAAATGCTCCTTACCCTACTTGTTGAAGGGTTATGTCTGTATAGAAAACAGATTAAAGTCAGGTGAAGCGGTGGTAGCCCAGGTCTGTAACCCCAGCAGTGGGAGGCTAAGGTGGATGATTGATACTTGGGGTTAACCTGAGTTACACAGAGATACGCTGTTTCAAAAATATAAACAAACAAACACACACAGAGGTGGGCAAGAGTTATCAAGTAGCCTGTTCTTCCTTGTTCTATCTGCTGCTTCTTTCTTTCTTTCTTTCTTTCTTTCTTTCTTTCTTTCTTTCTTTCTTTCTTTCTTTCTTTCTTTCTTTCTTTTTCTTTTTTTTTTTTTTGGTTTTTCGAGACAGGGTTTCTCTGTGGTTTTGGAGCCTATCCTGGAACTAGCTCTTGTAGACCAGGTTGGTCTCGAACTCACAAAGATCCGCCTGCCTCTGCCTCCCAAGTGCTGGGATTAAAGGCGTGCGCCACCACCGCCCGGCTCTGCTGCTTATTTCTTTATTTTTTATTGGTTTTTATTTTATGCCTTTGGGCACTTCTGGGTACAAACTGCATGTATGGCCAGGCATCACGTGTGTGTAGTGTCTGCAGAGGCCAGAAGAGGGCGTCAGATTTCCCTAGAACTGGAGTTCCAGTTGTGAGCTGCCATGGGGGTGTTCAAAATTGAACTCTGGTCCTTTCAGCCTGTGAGTGCTCTTAACCACTGAGCCACCTCTCCTGCTCCTGCTGAGTACCTCTTAAAATCAGGAACCCAGTTTATAACAAGGGTCACTTTCACGTGTTTGCTGTCACTAGGCCTTTACACCTTTCTTTGGGCTAAGCTTTGTGTCTTTGAGACTTAGGTGTTTCTTGTTTGTAACCAGTATTCAGAAATGCAAATGTTGGGCTAAAGATTGCTTATGTTCTGGAGAAAATGATTAGGTTGATAATTCAAAGTTTTTGAAAAACTAGCAAATGATAAAATATGAAGATTTTGCCTAGCAGTAGTTGTGCACACCTTTAATCCTAGCACTTGGGAGGTAGAAGCAGGTGGAGCTATGTAAGTTCGAGGCCAGCCTGGTCTATGGAGTGAGCTCCAGGACAGCCAGGGCTACAGCTAGAAACCCTGTCTCGGAAAAAAAAAAAAAAAAAAAAAAACAAACAAATCAGAAAATTATTTTATGTATATGTGTTATATGTTAAATCAAAAAAATGTTCATATTTAAAAGTCATTAATGTGATGATCAAAGCCATCTGAAAAGTAAGTGAGAACTCTGAAATTAAAAAAAGACATGAGCCCTAATACTTGGCAAGGTTTAAATGACTCAGAAAAAATTAAGTAGAAAGAACGTGTTCATATTTGTTTGTTTTTAGAGATACACTCACTGGAATTGGTTTGGAGCTTCCTATGAAGGCCACGTCAGCTTCAAACTAGCAATTCTCCTGCCTCAGCCTCATTAGTGCCGTTATGGTTAAGTCTGTCCCCAGATGCCTGGAATTATATTATATTAGTTTAATAAAAGCTGCAGGAGGCACTAAGTCCTTGTGCTTACAGAGAAGCACTAGGGAAACCAGGAATGCCAAACACACAGGGTTGTCTCCTCAGAGAGAGAGAGATGCCCAGAAGGCTGGGAGCAGAGCTAGTCAATAGCCCTGGTGACCTTTGTGCTAGCTGTGTGCTCAACCACACCAGGTCCTCCCCAGACCTTTATCATGAGCTCGTTTTTCTCAGTTTACAGAGCCTGTCTTTATGGAAGATGTCACGTGTGCTTAATCTATCGAACCCATCTTTATGGAAGATCACATAGGCTTGACAAAGAGGTTCAATGCTGTGGTGTCTTAAGCTCTGTTGTGCACATGGAACTGCATTGGTTGTACCAAGAAACTCCTCACTCCACCCAACTGTGCTGTGCTTAAATGCACCTAAAAAAAAAAGAAACAGTTCAGCATCAGACTCTATTTGAACCAACACCTTGTTGAACCAGACTACCTTCTTATCTCACACGGTTCTTTGCTCTGCTGGCCGTGGTGGTTACAAATACACCCCACAACAAGCAGCTGCGTTTCTTGATGAACAAAATACTCATATCCTTTATGGATTTCTTGCTTAAATACTGCAGTGCTAAAAACACCAAAAAGCTATTCCCCCAGATAAGAAAATACCTATAAGTAAATTTAGTCAAGGAGGTGAAATATTTCTTCATTGAAAACTTTAAAACATTGAAGAAAGAAATAGAAGAAGGTGCGAAAAGGTAAGACGCCCCCCCCTTGTGCAAAGAATTAATATTTTTGAAATAGCCATGTCACTGAAAGTGATTTGCAGATTCAGCACAGTCTCCCTCCATCAGAGTTCCAATGACAAAGCCAGAGGGATGGCTTAGTGGTAAA